TGGCAAAAAACAAATGAAAAACATGTTAGACGTGTAATTTTTTTTATGCCAACTCACGCTATTTTTATTTATATTTTTAAAAAATAAAATAAAATAATTCCTTTATCTTTTTCTCATTTTTTCTTCCTCTTCTTTCTTCTTCTTCTTCCTCTTCTTCCTCGGGTTCCATCAAACCCTCTGCTGGGTTCGACCGAACCCAGAACCAAGCTCCACTTTTTTTTTTTTTTTTTTGTGGATTTGGTTGTTTGATTAAGATGAAGAAGACAAGGTAAGGAAGAGGAAGGAAAAAGAAAGGACACATGTTGGGTTCAATATTGAATTGATTGTTTGATTGAATTGATTGTCTGAATGAAGGAAGATTCAAGAAAGAAGATGCTGAAGGAAGAAGATGATGCAAAATTGTAATTTGGTGGGCCCCACTTTTGTTTTTGTGTTGGGTATGACCATGTCATCATTTAGCCAGTTGAACAACTAACGTGTCTTAAATTTTTGATATCTCTGTGAGTTAACGGACGATTTTTAACGGAAGGACCAAGTTGAGGTAAAATGGGTAAACAGTAGGGACCAAATCAGGGATTTTTTTAGTTCATGGACTAAATCAGGGGTCCGTACAATAGTTTAGGGACGAAAAAGGGGTTTTAACCTAAAAAATAATATAATCACTTAATGTTATTAAAGGTAAAAAAAACTGAATTTTATTAGATAATTATTAATTAAAAAATGTGACCATAAATTAAAAAATTAAAATGGATAAATTTGTCAATAAAATTAAAAAATTTTAATCTGCTAACGGTTTGGTACAAAAAACTATATAAACTAGTTTTTTCAATCCACTAGTAGTTTAGACCCTAACCGTTATCCGTTAATCTCAAACTGTTAAATAAAAATTTTACTGAACACTTTATTTGTAACGGTTTGAAAATATATAAATTTATTAAACATCTATATTTAGCGATTTAGGTAAAACTGTTAACCGTTATCCTAAAACCACTATACCAAACTGGCCTTTAATGTGAATAATGAAATGTTCAAACTTGTGATTGATGAAGAACGGATGTTTATAGAATACTACATTACTCAATGGGAAGTAGAATCTTCATCCCTCTATTCACACCATATGTATGCCGTATATGTTTGTAAGGGAACGAAGAGTACGTTTGTCCGAAAGAAATGGATAAGAGGAGAAACTTTTCTTCTATTTAGTTATAAAAGAAAAAATTAAGGGAAGGGAAAGCGATTCCTTATTTCATTTTCTATCTTTGAGTTCTTCATTCATTTTAATTTATTTAAATAAAAGAAGGGGAGGAAAATAATATTGATCCATGCATACTACAAAATTTTAACCTCTATCATATAATATATGTATCCCACTGAGACCAAGACATAACTTTGACTTGTTCAAATAACAATTAAGGTGAGGCAGGGTTAGGAACAATGATACTTTTTATGACAAACAGATCTATTTTGTAAGTTTGTTATTATGGGTAGTTCCTATAAAGGATCGGGCTAATGATATATACAATACTTGAATTCTTGATGTAGATGCTACATGGTTGGTTCTATAATTTTGATGAATTAATTGCAAGACAAAAAAAAATGGCTGAAAATAGAGACAAAAATCATTATGATTTGTTTGTTCCTGAAACTATTTTATCCCCCAAAGGTCTTAGAGAATTGCGAATTCTAATTTGTTATATTAGCTACATCAAATAAATCGTGCTGCATGTGGGTCGACACGGCCCAACAAGACGTGGGCTGTGTTTAACAGGCTATTTCGCTGCTCGACATTTCAAATCATACTGTATTGACGTGCAGTTGATAGTTGATAATAGATATTCAATACGTAATAATTGTTATGTTTAATTCAAATACTCTTATTTGTCTCACCAGATACCAATAGCTTATAACTATTCATTAACATCTAAATCAAAACCCTAGTCTACCCAAAATGAAAATCTAAAAATGTGGCAGATGATCAGGACAATGGTTTGCACAAAACTTATCAAGAAAAAAACCTTTTTGGAACCGGTTTAACTAAGGTCATGACTCATGAGGTTGCCATTATCTCTGTTGACTACTCGTTTTTAGGTTCAAATTCCACTGCCAGTTATTGATAGGCAATCTGTAACATGTCCGTAATCTTTTATTATCCTACATAAGGTTGATTAGTTGTTAAGTATCACAACTAAGTCTTTAATGAAGTTGGTAACACTTTACTAATCTTTTATTACCTTAAATTTTATGATAATATTATAATTATAATATTACGTAATATTATAATTATATTATTTTTAAATTTTTTATCATCAAAAATGAAAAGCTGGTGATACAATTGCAACAGTGTTGTTCAAGTCTAACGCGACTCAATTGAAAGTCAGTAGTTCAGCACCTTATCATCATTGTATCACATGCCCAAATGCAAAACAGCAGATGAAAAAAAATATCTACCAGTACTCCAAAGTAGTTCACAAGGACAGGAGCAATAGTTCTCAATTTTCCATTTTTTAACGACTAGAGACAAACTTATCGTGAAAAAATATAATTCTCAATTGATATATGTCCAATCTCTGTTATCTGCAGTGGCACAGATGTAATGGGCAAACAATTATGACGAGTTCCATGCGTAAGCAGCTTGATCTCCATTCCTAGAAAGATGAGCCTCAAATACAATCAGTACACATCTCTTTTGCTATTTATCTTTAGGTTTTTTTAAGGTTCTTACCCTACAAATACACATGCATTGTCCACCGAATTAAGCTTTGTTTGGGACGTCATCCACACTTGGTGTAAGTGGTTAGTGCTTTTTTTTTTTTTTTTAATAAATTCGTAAGGGATCAGATTCGAACCGTTACCCAAAAGTAAGAGAATGCACTTATACGTGACTTGACGCCATTGGACTCAAAGATCCAATTGCCTCTAATCCCCTTTTCTTGGTAGATGAACTTCCAAAAGTTCTAATCAGGTTCACCCTCTCTCTATTTTCTTTTGTAATGTAATGTAATCGCCTTTTTTAAGGTAGAGCAAGGCTTACTTGGTTGAACCCTAAAGTTTTGATTTTGTTACCATTTTTTTAATGTTCTTAATTCAATGTGAGAGTTTATCTTTCAAATTATCTGAAAAAAGTAATCTCAAGTAGAATTAATTAATTTAAAAACACAATAATCATCCAAAAGAAAAGGGTGGTAACCCATAAATCAAAGCATATTTAGCTTAAAAAATGGCAAAAGGCGCGTGTGACATTTTGTTTGGTGAGTATGTATGGGAGTACTAGAATTATAACATATATATTTTTTCATTTCTAAAGTGTCAAAAAATAAAATCATATTTTTACTCGATTAAGGCTCAGGCTGGGTTCAAAACAAAAAGTTCTAACCTCAATTTTTTGTTTAAAAAAAAAAAAAGAACACTTGACTTTCATTATGTCCTTACAATTACATATGCAC